TAATTTAAAAGTTGAACAATTATTAAAATATTATATTATTCAAAATTTATATGAATTTCAAAAGGAAATAGAACATAAAATAGAACTTGTTACATATGATTATCAAATAGAAGCTATCAAACAAGAATTTAATCGTCAAAATTCAACTGAATATCAAGTATGTGTGTAATTATTTGAATGAGTAATTTATTATGATAGGGTTGTTTTCGTTTAGAAAAAACTCATGAAACAATTATGTCTAAAAAGAGACGAAAAAGAAACAACAGAACAAGAATTAAAATTCCTACAAGAACGTATCGATCATTTTAATGCACCGGATCAATCATTTGAACATTCAGCTATAATCGATTCTATTGAAAATATTGAAATACGACAACAATTACAGCAACAATATCGAAAAATAATTCAACAAGCCAAAACTGATTTTTATTTTTTAAGTTTACAAACAGCTGAAGAACAACGAACTAGAGCTAGATTGAATTATGACAATGAAGTTAATAAAATGTATTCCATTCATCATAATGCATTTGATTTCACCATATTACCATTAAAAATGATCGATTTAATTCAAGAACGTTGTCGAATGATAGGTGAACGTATTCAATCGGTTTATAATTATAAGATTGAATGTTTTCATTTGAAATTACAAAAAGACTAAAAGATAAATATTTAATTCAATAGAAGTCATGTTTTTTTTCTCATATTTATTCGAATATTTATCAAACCTTTTTTTTTGTAGTGTTATTCATTCAATTTATTCATAGCTGATCTATTTGTTTTCATTTTAGATAAACTTTTTCATATAGTTACGAAGAAAATAATGTTCAAGAACAATAAACTTGATGATTATCTTGGTATTTATCCAACTACTCGAGAATATCAACTTTGGATGTTGAATCCATATGATAAAAATGGCAAAGAAATACTATTTCAAGGAATTAGATATTGGTAATAAATTCTTGATTTTAACTTTCAAAATTTTTAATTATTTGTCATTTATTTTAGTACTGATGATGATGCATGTCAATGTAGAAGATGTAAAAAAAATCGAATAAATGAATGGCCTTATGAACGATCATTATGTGCAAATCTTTTATATTTAACTGGCATACATATCAATGATATTAATTACAATGAAATCATCAAATTTGAAGAAACTGTAGTCTCCGATTATCTACGACATATTGGTGAATTTTGGAAATATATTACTGGATTATGTTTATTAGCTGGTGAAAATGGCATTGAAATATTACGTCAATTCAATAATGGATTATTTGACAAACCATTTGTATATCATCGTCGACTTCATAAACCTTGTCGGAATATTCCACATCCGAAAAGAAATAAAAAAATAATTAAATATTGTAAACAAAAATATAGAATATTACATGAAATTTTTGAAAATTGAACCCATCTTATAACACTTTCAATAAATTCTTCAATAATTCGATCACTTTTCTATCCTCAACGACTATAACTTCAATAATAATAAATAATCCATTGTTCTTTTTGTTCTAGATTTAAATAATACACAACTTTAAACGAATCATATTCAAACAAAACCGAATTAATGAAACAATAAATTTCGTCAACAATTCAATATAAATTCACGAAAACTAGGAATAAATTCTAATCTATTTCCTTCAATCATTCGAT